CACTGATGGTTCATACCTATAATCCTCCCTAGTTAGGAGGCTGAGATCTGAGGATTGAGGTTTGAAGCCTGCCCTGGTAGGAAAGATTCTGAGACTCTTATCTCCAAAACGATCAAAAAAGCTAGACTTGAAGCTGTGACTAAAGTGGTACAGTGCTAGCCTTGAGCAAAAAACGATCAGGGACAGTGGCCAAATCCTGAGCTCAAGCCCCAGGATAGGCACACACACACACAAAATTTACAAATTACAAATAGTTTTATGTTATCAAATATATCATAGAAAATGACAGCTTATTATTTAATGATTAACTCATATGTGAGTATATATAATATACATAATACATGTATATATGTAGAAAATTTCTGGAAGATTATACAAAGAACTGTTGATTTTGTTCATCTCTGGAAATTAGTGGCTATGTTTTCCAGAGGTAGAAAATTTTCACTTTTTGCTTTCTATACTACTTCCTACTATTTGATTTTTTCTATGTGCATTCATAATACTTATTTTAATTGTAAGAAATTAGTTTAAAGGTTTTGGATGTACCTCAGTGATACTGTGCTTGCTGTGCATGTTTAAGGCCCTGGCTTGGACCCTCAGCTTCCACAAAAACATAACAAAATAAAATCAAAAACCCTATTTTAAGTTGGACACTAATCAGTATGTAATAAAATGGCATGTCTAACCTCCCATGAAAAGAACAACTACAGAGTAGTTTGTGACTAATTTAATTCTTAAGGATATTTCAGGTCTTGATTAAAATGTATATGTTTTAGAGTAGAGAATTGTTCTTGGGAAAAAACCTGAAAATTCACAGAGAAAGATGTACACACTTTTTTTTTAAACTCTAGAAGGTTGCATACAAGTAATATTTAATGAGTACTTTTTTGGCATCTTTTCCTCTTAGCAAAGCTTCAAAACTACTCTATGGTAACACTTTGCTCATCTAAGTTTTAATAAATTTAAGGAAATATAAAGGCCCTTGGTATGACTTCTACAGCATTCTGACCTGTATAGAAATAAATCTGCCTGCTAAGAATGCTTTGTAGTTTCAGCTGAAACTCTTGGATTTATATATATGTCACATATCAGCTAGTTTTGCTGTGTAACAAATCACTTTAATACTCAGTGGATTAAAAACACTGTTATTTATGATTGCCACAATGCTTGCTGGTCTGCTGGATTTCAGCTGATCCAGGCTATTCTCAGCTCAGAGGCTTTTGTTCATGATAAGGTGGCTGTGAGTAGTTCTTTTTTTTTTTTTAAGAAAGAGAGAAGGCTGGAAGTCTGTCTCTGCTCCTCATAGTGTCTATACTGCTGAGACAAGCAAGCTATTCATGAGGATGGTGGAAGAGAGTGAACAGAAGTAGTCCAGGACTATGATCAGGATTGGCATCACAGAAGGAAGGGAGTCACATGGCTAAGCCACAAAACCAAGAGGCAAGAACGACATTCCCTTATAATGCATATGGCAGGAGTGTGGATTGAGGAAACGTGAAGAATTAGTGCCAACAAGTCAATCTTCCATACCAGAGTAAAATGATAGAAAATTTGGAAGGAGATTGGCTAGAATTTTCAGTGATCTGAACGGTGTGGGTTCAATAGGGCACAGGATTTTTTGATGGAAGAAAGGGGAATGCTTGAGAGGAGTGCTGGATCTTTTTCTTTTTCCTCTTTTTTTCTTTCTTTCTTTTTTTTCAAATAGTGTGAAAGAGCTACAGCGGAGGAAGCATATAAAATCTAGTGGGGAAAGAAACAGAACAGGAGGATGAGTGGAGAGAAGACAAAGAAGATTACTAGAAAGGGCTGGATGAGTATCTCCATATTAAAGGCTTATTTTAGTTAATTGAAATATGCTAAATAATTGTTATCGACTATATTTGTAAGTTTCTCAAGTATGTAATGGCCTGAATCAGTAGTCTAAGAGAATAATATGTTTCCATACTGGGTTTTGCCAACATATTGTAGAAATTCTGTGGAATTGGTATGTGGAATCAATCTACCATAGGCCTTTAGATAGAAAACAAAATTACTATTTAAAACAAGAACTAGCCTTCTGTCTTGATTATTTTCATACTTTGAACCACTTTAATCAAAATGATAATTCTTACATAATTATCAAGGATACCTACTAGATCCTTGAATATAATTCATTCATAATTTCTTCCCCTTATTGGTGTGAATTTAGGTAAAGAACACTTTTGCTTATTCTCTGGATCCAATGGAACCAGATGCATTTGCTTTTTAAGGAAATTATAGTATTTTTATTTTATTTCATTTTAATTTTGTTGGTTGTGGGACTTGAACTCAGGGCCTGGGCACTGTCCCTGAGCATCTTTGTGCTCAAAGCTAGCTTTCTATCACTTGAGCCACAATGCCACTTCTGGTTTTCTAGTGATTTATCGGAGATAAAAGCCTCATGGACTTTTATGCCTGGGCTGGCTTTGAACCACAATCCTCAGATCTCCTGAGTAGCCAGCCTCCTTTGTAGCCAGCCTCCTGAGTAGCCAGGATTATGGGTGTGAGCCACTGGTGCACGACAAAACTATGATATTTTAAAACATACCCATTTCGTTTCCCTTACTTGCAATAACTAGTACATGTCTAGGACAAGCAAAAACGGTCAAAAGCTATGTACATATGACCATATAAGATGATGTTAAGCTAAATGAACCCCAAGACAGGGACACAAGTGGCTTTTTTCTTTCTTGCTATTGTTTTAACATACTTATTCTCTTGTTCCTTTTGTATGTTCTTCCCCCATGGTATAACCCCTGTTTTCATTGTATCTGATTCCAGTGTCCTGCATCTTGTATATACATTTTTCTAATTTGGGGAAGGAAAGGGATATAACAAAACGCTTAAATAGGGATACAGGTTGACCCATTGTAACAATGAGATGTACAAGACACTATGTTGAAAATGAACTTTACAATTTGGGGGGAAGGGGAGTTGGGAAGGTAGGGAGGGAAGGGATGGTAGGGGAAAAACAAAGGAGGAGGTAACAATGCTAGATAGGAAATGTACCCATTACCTTACTCATGTAATTGTAACCCCTCTGTACAGAATTTTTACAATAAAAATATATATGGGGAAAAAAAGAAAATCAAGAAACTGCCTGAACATCATAAGCCAATTTTCAGAATAAATTTTGTATTGCATCTTTAAAAAAAAGAATTTATTGAGTATTTTCTACTAGCTTTCATTACTATTTATATACACAGAAATAAGAAAGGGTAAGAAAAAATGTCAAAAGAACAGACTATGTGTTTTGTATTTTTGTCAAATAAAATGTGTGATACATTGTTAAAAAAAAAGAAAATGGCTGTGATCTGTGAATTAAATTTCACACACAACCTGGTGGCCCTTCTAATGTAGACAAATTTAGTTCATTATAGAATGTACCTCTCCTTAGAGAAATAATTCTATGACTTATATTTTTGGCATTTTCTAAGAAAATCTCTTAGGACTAGTGGATATATATATATATATATTTTTTTTTTTTTTTTTGGTCGGTTGTGGGGCTTGAACTCTGGGCCTCGGCTTCCCTCAGCTCTTCAGCTCAAGGCTAGTGCTCTAACAATTGAGCCACAGCACCACTTCTATTTTCTGAGTGATTTATTGGAGATAAGAGTCTCACAGACTTTTCCTGCCCGGACTGGCTTTGAACTGTGATCCCCAGATCTCAGCCTCCTGAGTAGCTAGGATTACAGGCATGAGCCACCAGCGCCCGGCTAGTGGATATTTTTATTTGTCTTACTTCTACTATAATTTATGTCCTTGAAAAAATTAGCTGGGTGCCAGTGGCTCATGCCTGTAATCCTAGCTACTCAGGAGGCTGAGATCTGAGAATTGTGGTTTGAAATCAGCCTGGGCAGAAAAGTCCTCATGAGACTCTTGTCTCCAATTAGCCACTCAAAAACTGAAGTGGCACTGTGGTTCAAATGGTAGAGCACTAGTCTTGAACACAAAGATCCTCAGGCACAGTGCCCAGGCTCCAAGTTCAAGCCCCAAGACTGACCCTCTCCCCCCCCCCCAAAAAAAAATCACTCTCAGCCAGGCACAGTGGCTTAAGCTTTTAATTGTAATTACTTTCAAGGTAGAGATTACTGAGGCTTAGCGTGTCAGCCTGTCATTCTCAGAAATAGAGGAAGCACAAGGAGGAGAATGGTAGCCAGGCCAGCCTGGGCATAAATTAAGACCCTATCTCCTAAATAACCAACACAAAAGAAGCTGGAAAGCATTATTCAAGTGGTAGAACTTGAGGTCCTGAGTTCAATCCCCAGTACTGCTAAAAAAAAATCTCATATTTTTTACATTTCTCTTTTGTGTAGCAGTTTTGAGCTATAATGCTTCTGTGTTGTTTGAAGGTTTATTGAATATGTGCATTAGACATGTATTAAAACAAGAGAAAGCTTTGTAAGATTAAGAAAATTGGTCTGGATTGGAGGGCCCTATAATTTCAAATGGTAGAGCACTCACCTGAGAAGTGAAAAGCCCTAGGTTCAAATCCTAGTACCACAAGAGGAAGGAAGGAAGGAAGGAAGGAAGGAAGGAAGGAAGGAAGGAAGGAAGGAGGGAAGGAAGGAAAGAAGGAAGGGAGGGAGGGGGAGAAGGAGGGAGGGAGGGAAGGAAGGAAGGAAAGAAGGAAGAAGGAAGGAAGGAAAAAGGAAGGAAGGAAGGAAGGAAGGAAGAAGGAAGGAAGGAAGGAAGGGAGGGGGAGAAGGAGGGAGGGAGGGAAGGAAGGAAGGAAAGAAGGAAGAAGAAGGAAGGAAGGAAGGAAGGAAGGAAGGAAGGAAGGAAGGAAGGAAGGAAGGAAGGAAGGAAGGAAGGAAAAGAGGCTGGTTTTGTTTTGGTCGGTCATAGGGCTTGAACTCTGGGCCTGGGCACTCTCCCTCAGCTCTTCAAGAGGCTGATTTTTGAAACTGTGGTTTTGTCACTTCAACACTTTTCTTCATTTTGAAGTTTTGGTTACTGGTCTCATTCCTCTTTCACTCCAGGCTGGGAAGTGATGATACTCATTTTGAAGCAAGCATGGCCAATAATGGATGTGAAGTACACCATTTTGATCCTAGTGTGAAATCAGCTCACATTCTGGAGAGCCAGCGCCTTTGGCATCACCGACTGTCCATTGATTGGCGTGATCCCCATCCAGCTGCTGCTGCCCAAAAGACACATAGCAACACCAGAAAACTGAGAAGCATCTTGGATGAATTTGGGCATCACAAGGTAAGACTTTTTATTTGCTTTCATAATTAAATGAAGTGAACAAGCCCATCAACTTGAACAAATGGAAACCAAGGGTTAAAATATTGACTTTGGAAAGTTGAGGTCCAAGTTTACTCTTACTGATCACCCAACATTATTTATAGAATCAACTCTGTGGACATAAAGTTTTGGCAAGAGAGGAGAGAGATGTTTACATTGGTTTGAAGATTTTACTCATTGATTTAAATGTACAGAAAGGGCACACTGCTTATGTTAGAAACAAATACAAAACAATCCAATTTAGGTTTATGTTTGGTAAGACACTACTCGTGTACAATATTTCTCACTATTATAACATGTTTCTCACTATGTTGAGCCTGTAGGCTTCTGAAGTTCAGAGAATATGTGTAGCTTTGATTAAAATTTACTTTATGAAATTGAATGAACATTAGATATGTATCGATTTAACTTTGCAAATATTTGACTGTGACTATATGACAAAAGAGAAATACCATCTTTGATGTATGTTCAGAAAAAGTAATTTTTAGCATAAAATATCTGAGCTCATTATGTTTTATAAGCTACTGATAAAAAAAAATGTCTGAGTGTGGTTGGTTGGTTTGATCTCCAGCACTTCTTGAGTTTGGTCTATCTTGACCTATGGTCCCCAGCCACAGGTGACATGACACTTAGAATGTATCAGAGTGGGCATTCATCTGAGAGGCAGGGTTTATGGAACCTTTTGATTTAAGTTGGCTTCTTGATCTTTCGTAACAGGGCTTTCTTCTGTATTGTTCTTTTTCCTCTCCCTCTTCTATTTTTAAGTTGCTTTAATTAGACAGGCAAAGAATGCACTGTTCTTGTATCATACACTTGACTATTGATTGGTATTTTGCTTTGCCAATGAGAGTAACTAGCATTTAATAGTCAGGAACCTGAAAATTCAGAACAAAACCCCTTTTCATATGCTATTAATTTTTTAGTAAGTGTGGGAAGAAGCACGGCATTTTTTGAGAATTGTTTTTTTGTGGGATTTTTTTTTTGCCATTTGTTACCTTTATATATTTTTTTTTACAGCTAAAAATTACATGCCTTATTCTTCAAGACACCAACTGTGGAGCTAGTACTTATGCTTTGTGTTCAATAAGGAGCCTTGCTGCTCCTCCTTCTTGCCTTTTCCTTCCTAGCCCTCTCTACCCTCACTCTTCCAAGGAAAAACTGAGTAGGAAAAGAGGGGAAATTCAATGCCATTTTTCTGATACTATTTTAGTAAAAGATTTTCTAAAAGGTGAGGCTGAAATGAGGCTTTGAAAAAGCCATGTATGGGTATAATTTATGTAACCCCATTTCCTACAGAGAATATTTTTTGGATAACAAGTCATAAACCTGGATTGTTTCTTTTTGATTCACTTCCTGCGAGTTTCAGTGACAAGCCTGTATTCAGGGGAGAAAGCAGAGAGCCCTTGTCGCACTGCCCTTGAGACAGTACAGGATTTAGAAAAGACTAAGTCCTAGAAAGGACTGCTTATGTTCCTCAGGCTATTTGTCAAAAGTCAAATGTGTTAATGCCAATAAAAGTGATGTGGCTCACAATTGCCAGGTCCATATTTGCTGCTAAAAACAAAAGTCACGCTTGAAGAATTTAAAGATATACTAATGCACTTTCATAGAGACTTTTTTTGGCAAATGCTTTCAAACCGAAACAAAATATACCAAAACCCATGGGTGATTGATTGCATCCATCAAGAGCATGCTTGGAGAGGTGGTCTGGTGCCAGATGAAAGCAAATCCTGCCTGAGGCCTGTGGCAAGACTGGTCTGTCTTAGTTTTTCTTCATGTGCATAGACATTGGTAGATAGGAGATGGCTATGGCAGGGATGCTAAGAGATCAAAGCATTTAAAATGCCAGTGCCTTTGCCTTGCCTTCTGTACTTACTGATTTTGAAAGTGACAATAGAAACCGTAGGTTCTTTTCTCTACAAGACTTTAAAATATTCCATATAGTTTTGCACTCATTTCCCAGTTAAGCTACATTTCCCCCCACTTATTCTCTATACTCAGGCCTAGATTCCAGTCACTCAAACAAATTTATGAGCTAAATCAAAGGCAAGATTCTGAGATGGTGACAGAAAGATGCATATGACTTTTGCACTGCTTAAAAAAAAACCACTTTGCTCATTTTAACTTCAAGGTATAAATCAGAAAACTTTCCTAGAACACAGGTATGAGCAACTAGCTGCTTCAGCAAACCTATGCAGTTCAGAAGCCAGTCTAACAGGGAGTAGTATCTTCTGGATCTAGCATTATTTCTGCCTCTCTGGGCTGGGAACCTAACATGAAACCAAAACATTGGTTTTGTTGTGTGTTTTATGCTGAGTTTGAGAGAATATGGGCTTTGAGATCAAACTATGAAAACATCTTTTCCTTGTCTCTATCAAATTGGCGAATATAAGCACATTGTTAATACTGCTTGATATTGGCATGTTTGTTGGGAATAATACATCAGCTTTGCTGGAAATAGAAAATGATAGTCTGACTTGTGGAGGAGATGGGGAAAAACCAGTTGTTTAAGGATACAGGTGGACCTGTTGCAACAATGAGAAGTACAAGTTGTCATGTCCAAAACGAGCTT